CATTTCACACGGCACTGTCTGTGAAGGAGTTTTTTAGCCAGTAAACAAATGACTGTATTGGAACACTCTCCCTACTCACCTGATCTGGCCCCAATGACTTATTTCTTTACCTGAAGATAAAGGAAATATTGAAAGGAAGACATTTTGATGACATTCCAGACATCAAGAATAATACGACAACAGTTCTGATGGCCATTCCAGAAAAAGAGTTCCAAAATTGCTTTAAAGGGTGGTCTAGGCGCTAATGTTGGTGCATAGCTTCCCAAGGGGAGTACTTCCAAGGTAACCATAGTGATAGTCAGCAATGAGATAATCCCTGCTCCGTCTGGATTCAAGATCCTGATATTCAGGCTGATTTTTTTTTTTATCTTGGCAATACTATTTCAGGAACCCTATTGGCTCTCTCTAGTCCAGCCCTATCCAGGAAGCTCAAGCTCTCTTTAAGAAGACTAATCTGTATACGTCTGGATATCAGAGTATCCAGGTCAAATTCTTTCCCACGGGGCTCCATGTACATCATGGATATGGCTGGGCCCTACTTTACAGTTTTGGAACACTCTATATCCAAAGGTACCTGAATAGTCTGAGACAACTGGGGAGTAGGCTGGTGCACAACATAACAATGTCCTCTAGGGGGTAATGTTGTCTAACTCCACAATCTACCACTCCAGCATCTTATCAAGGTATGGCTAAAGAATTACTGTGTTTGTTAATGACTTTTTTCCCTCCCTTCCTCTCTTCCCTTAAGTTTTTGAGTGAAGTTTCTCTTGAAAAGTTCCAACATGTTTTCATTGAGCTATAGAGAAATTTTAAAGTATATTTTCCCCTCAACCCTCAGTCTAGAAAACAAAGAGGGTTGTTATATCTCTGAAGATCAGGTGTCTTCCAAGGTAATAGTAAAGATTCCGGGGGTGGGGGGAGAAAAGAATGAGAAAAAACTCAGAACTTTAATTCTTCTGTCATTTCCCAGCAAACTATTGTAGGACATGAACAATAAAAACCTCAGCTATCCCATAGCATATTTAGAACCTTCCACGTTCAGAACAACTCCGGACCAAAAAGCAGTTTAAAAAAATAACACTCATGGCACTGAATGATCACTATAAGCAAAAACTGAACCTAGCTAAGAAGCACAGAAGGCGTTGGTCGTAATTTCAGTTACTATTTCTTTTTAAAGTTAGTATGGTCACATTTTTACTTCTTTAATTTGAATATAGCATCTTCTAGGCTTCAACTTAGGATTCATATCACTTATCTATAGTTTAACTGCAGTTTAATTAATATACAGATATAGTTAAACTTTAGTTTAATATACAGGTGTTTAGGAGTTACTCAAGACTTACTGAATCTCTTAATATTCTTGATATGTTTTTGGTATATTCTGACAATAAGCTTGGGTATGTATATCCATGATATAGGAAGTCAGGATTATTATATGTTGTGTCTCAGTATTTTTTCTTTGTAAAGATTATGTTTATCCAGTTTTATAAATTAGTTGTAATGTTAACTATCTTCTTGAAAATGAAGTTAAATCATTATGTTTATAGTTTTTTTGTCTAAACATTTTTTTGGATTAACTTTATTATCTTGCTTTGCATGCCATAGAAACAACCAAATTTCCTTGTTATCTGCATAATTCTTGTAATGACTTATTAGATCTTTCACTTTTGAAAGTTATCAATAAGAACCCAGTAAGCTAACTACAACCATTTAAAATCTTTTGTCATCTACAGATAGTTTTTTTTTTGATGCTTCCCTGAAAGTTTGGCAATCAACTGCAGGCCAGAGTACTGCATCTTCAACAAAGGAATGTGTCAGAATCCAGTGGAAAAGGATCATGCCAGATACTTTGTGGTGCAGGCTTCTGATGGCACCACTTAAACAACTTGGAGACCATACTAGTGGACTGAGTTAGGATTTCGTGCTGCGGGGGCTGGGGCAAATCAGTCCTATTTAATCACCCTTTATTTCCTCTGCCTGTGGGTTTGCTTCCTCTAGATTCTAGAGTCTAGAATGTACATTCATTTAATTGAAAACTTTTACTGAGTTGCCTTCTGCCTTTTCTTGTCCACGCTCAATTTTCCAAAACCCTTAAGAAGTGGTTTTCTCTCAGCGCTATCATTAATTAATGGAGAAAAGAAATGACAGGCTCCTCGTGCCCACGAGGAGGGAACTTAGTAACGCTAGTCAAGTCGCAACCCCACGTCGTAACAACGTCAGCCTTTTGGAACTCCAAACCCCTAAGTGCAACGCGGGCATGGGTGGAAACGCTTGCTGAAACTTTGCAGGATCCGCGGATCTGAAATTCAGACAGTTCTAGTGCAGAAAGTGCGCGTGCCTTGCCAGAAAGCTCCTTGATTACTATAATAAATGACGCCTAAGATTCTTTCCCTAGCTTCCATCGCGTCCCCACGGTCCCGCACTTCCGCAAGCCGAATTTTCTCGCTGCAGCCACCGCCTCTTTCCCAAAATCGTGATGCGCCTCTATATAGACTTGGAGGACCTCTGAGCTCACAATCTTTTCTGCTTGGAAAGCTTGATGCTTAATTCCAGTCCTACTCAACTTTATGCTGTTCTTGGATCCACCCGTATTTTCACTATGATTAAGACAGATTACGGTTTCAATAGATGCTGATAGGCTGAATGAATGCATGAATGAATGAATGAATGAATGAATGAATGAATGAATGAATGATTGAAGACGTCATGAAATAGTAATTTTTATCACTCAACATAACTTGGCAGAAAGATTGTGAAATTATGAAGTCACAGATCGGGTTCCAATACCAGTTCTTCCACTTACTAGCAGGGTGATCCTCTCCCCCTTAGAGTTCAAGAAATGTTTGTTAAACGAATGAATGAAATGTTCTCGCAGAGACGTGTCACGAATTAAATGCGTGTTTTATCTCTGGCCACATTCAGCGCTCAAGAGAATTACTACTGTTCGCCCTAGTATACCACGTTTTGTGTTTATGAAGACTGTGAGTCCCCTGGGAAAAGGGGGATGTCTGACATGGTTCCAAGCTCCACAAGATGCCGGATCACATTAGGCTACTAGAATGACGGAGAACACTTTTTAACATGCTCTGGGAGGGGAAGACTACATATCCCGAAAACATCTGGCCCCTTCGCAGAAGACAAGTCCCATCATCCCGCAAGAATCTCAGTTTGTTCATGTACAAATGAAGGCCTACTATACTTGCAGATCCAGACTGCGGTCCATAGGACCCATCTCCTGCGCTCCAACAGGTCAAGTTCACTGCGCCGCGCTCCACGCCTGGCTGCAAATTGCTGAGACCTCCAACTGGGCGGGCGCCTAGGCGAGACGCATGCGCACTCTTCTCTCCTAGTCTCCTCCCTGCCTCCCTTCGTTAGTCCTTCGCGTTTCGAGTACTGCGGCCTTTTTGTCCCCTACTGCGTGCCGTGTCAGTTTCCGTGCGGAAGTGGTGCTTGTGAGAGAAGAAGATGGCGACTACTGTGGTGGCGCTGCCTGGTGCGGGGGCCAGTCGGGCCAACAAGCGCAGTGGCAGCGGGCCAGGAGGGAGCAGCGGCGGTGGGGGAGCCAAAGGGGCGGAGGAGGAACCGCCGCCGCCCCTACAAGCAGTGCTGGTGGCGGATAGCTTCAACCGCCGCTTCTTTCCCATCTCCAAGGACCAGCCTCGGGTGAGCGCCGTGCGCGAGAGCAGCCAGAGGGCCCAGAGGTGGCGGGACTGGAGCAGGTTATCTTTTCGACTGCCTAGTGATGCGTGCTGTGGGAGGACGTGTGTCTACCCTCTTGCTCTAAGTCGGGTTTATCTAGTTAGGAGGAAGGCAAAGAGGCCATCCAAAGCCCTGATTGACTGCCTGACCAAGTGAGGGGCTGGCAGGTTTGGGCACTCGTAGTGCCGCCTGTCTCCGCTTTGGAAGGCATGCAGAGAGCTAAGTGTAGAAGCAATGTTTGTGAGAAGCCTTCACGCGGGGCTTCAACGCCCCAAGAGGAGGCTGCGGAGAAAAAAGAGATCCTTAGGTGAAAGAATATCCCTTCCTTTTGCCTCCAAAAGGGAGGTCATATGCCTGAAAAAGAGCAGACTGGTCTGATCCCATAGTAACCAGCTGTTTTGGATCTTGTACAGTCAGTGTGCTTTTTTTTTTTTTTTAAGACAGCCAGTACCATCTGTCCAAACGAGGACAGAACAGGTTTAGTGGCTGGTTGCCAGCAGCCCTTGTATTTGTTGTCTAGACACTGGGAAATTGAACTGAGCTAGTCCTGAGGATTACTGGGTTACTCAGCAGTCCTTAGTTTAAAGAGAGGGAATGGCATTTAGATCAGGGGAAATCTTCTCTAGCTCTTCACTCCCCCCAGAAAGCTTAATGACTGTTCATTTTGTACAAGTGATTTGTGGTTTGCTAGTCCCTGACTCTTACAAAGAAATCAAGGAAGGAAATTTTAGGGGGAATAGGCCTTATTGGTGCTAAAGTTTCTGGAGATATGATTGATTTCCAGTATTCTCCTTTGCCAGGGGTGGTCTAATCTATAGAAGCTGTGTGATGCTAAGCCAAGTAGATTCTATGCTTACTATATCCAAATTGCAACACCGTAGACTCTAATGCTTAGAGCATGTCATGAACATGAAAGGCAGAAGCTTGATTACTTTTAAACTGGAAAGACAAAGCTATAGCTTTGGAAACACTGATATAAGAGTGAGAATTGTGGTTGTAGTGGGGGAAAGAATGGTACGCAGAGGGCCCCTACAGAATCAAGACTTCACTTTTTTTTTTTCATCCCCTGCCCTCCAGGCCCTCTTGCCTCTGGCCAACGTGGCACTAATTGACTACACGCTGGAATTTCTGACTGCCACAGGTGTACAGGAAACCTTTGTCTTTTGCTGCTGGAAGGCTGCTCAAATCAAGGAACATTTACTGTAAGGCCCTGCAACTTCACTTTCCATATTTCACCATTTTTTTCATTTTCTTAGGATGGATGTAACTAAGGGGAAATCGTGAGGGGGGAAAAAAATGTGTCTGTTTAGATCCCGTCATAAGGTCTAAGGGTAGTCTCTTCACTTATCAGGAAGCTATAACAAAAATTAAAGAATAACATTTGGGTTTTTCTGACTCTCACTTGTAAAGTTTGTTCCCAGTGGGCTTTGCTTTTTATTTAATAGCTCTAATACGGAAGTTATAAGAGTAACGTCTTTGTTTTTCCACTGAGCTGCTAAACATTGAGCTCTTCCTCATCTTTGCCTTCCCTGTGGCTAACTTAGTAGCAAATACATAGTAAGCACTTAATAAATGTTTGATGAAATCTTCTTGAAAAAGAGTGAATCTCAGGAATTATGGAAGCTTAGAAAATAAAGACTAGGATATTAGTATGGTCTCCATTAGATAGTTTCTATATTTGGTCTGGACTTTAGAAGGAGAAAAGTGGCATGAAAAGTGTATTTCCAGGATACTTTGTATACCCTAAGTCTCAGCAGGATTTTGAATTCAAATCCATGTTTGAGGACAGGGGTCAGGCTATGGAAAGGAAATAACCATGTTTCTGTAACCCATAAAACAAGACTGGTGACACAGGATGCTGAAACCATTAATTATAGTTCATAAATCTCTTTGAAGTTGAGGACGCTGGCAGGAACTCAAAAAAGCCATAGAGAAGGAGTGTGAATGTTGGATGGGGGAGAAAAACAGGGAAGCTCTATGTGATCTTTGTGCTTGATTCACTCATTCCCCTCACCTCCCCTTCCTTTAGGAAATCTAAGTGGTGCCGCCCTACATCCCTCAACGTGGTTCGAATCATTACATCAGAATTATATCGATCACTGGGGGATGTTCTCCGTGATGTTGATGCCAAGGCCTTGGTGCGCTCTGACTTCCTGCTGGTGTATGGGGACATCATCTCAAACATCAATATTACCAGAGCCCTAGAGGAACACAGGTCAGATGGGAAAATGATAGGGACAATAGTTTGTGACCAGCAGAACCCCAAAACTGCTTTTTTGCAGCTCTCTCCCTCCTATCCTTTACAGATTGAGGCGAAAGCTAGAAAAAAATGTATCTGTGATGACAATGATCTTCAAGGAGTCATCCCCCAGCCACCCAACTCGTTGCCATGAGGACAACGTGGTAGTGGCTGCGGATAGTGCCACAAACCAGGTTCTCCATTTCCAGAAGACCCAAGGCCTCCGACGTTTTTCTTTTCCCCTGGTATGTGGGTATCTAGGTTCCATGAGGTGGGAAAGTTACAGGCTTCAGCAAGGGAGACGGGTTAAAGTCCATAACTTCTCCCCACAGAGCTTGTTCCAGGGCAGTGGAGATGGAGTAGAGATTCGCTATGATTTACTGGATTGTCATATCAGCATCTGCTCTCCTCAGGTGAGCTCTTTAGGGCTGGGGCTGCACATCCAAAGAGTAGAACTCGGAGGGTGTGGTATTGCCCCCTTAGAAGGCCAGGGGGTATTTCTTCTCCCTCCTTCTCTTATCTGTTTTACTACAAATAGGTGCTATCATCTTGACCCCAATATTGGGAGCCTCCTTGGGATGCTGGCCAATGTCCTGCTGTCGTAGGGTCTGATAGGTCTCTGGGGGCTTATCTTTGCTTCCAGAGAATAGCACTTAACCTTGGCCCCACCCAACTCCCCCCCACACAGGTGGCTCAACTCTTTACAGACAACTTTGACTACCAAACTCGGGACGACTTTGTGCGAGGCCTGTTAGTGAATGAGGAGGTAAGAAAAGGTTCCCAATGCCTCTTTTAAAGAGGGCTGTGATTTTATCTCATGCAGATAACTTTTAGTCCCCTTTTGTGTTTTATTGAGCCTTCAGAGGGAGGAAAATAGCTGGGGTTTTGGGGAAGCAGTATGCAAAGAAAAGTCTCAGGCCATTTGGCTGTGACATTGAGAAGCAGAGGGGAACTTAAGGTTAGAAAAGTGTTCTACCTGTGGATGTTCTTCCTCTCTTGCTTGCTTAGGTGACCTCCCTTTCCTTGTCTTCATTCAGATCCTAGGGAACCAGATCCACATGCACGTGACAACTCGGGAGTATGGTGCCCGGGTCTCCAACCTACACATGTATGCAGCTGTCTGCGCTGATGTCATCCGCCGATGGGTCTATCCTCTCACTCCAGAGGCAAACTTCACTGACAGCACAACCCAGAACTGCACTCATTCCCGGCACAACATCTACCGAGGGCCTGAGGTCAGCCTGGGCCATGGCAGCATCCTGGAGGAAAATGTGCTCCTGGGCTCTGGCACTGTCATTGGCAGCAATTGCTCCATCACCAATAGTGTCATTGGTCCTGGCTGTCACATTGGTGAGCACAGGTGGGGAAGTCAAGCCAGCCATCCTAGGAGCAGGAACCTGGGGAGGCCCCATGTCTCCATAGAAGGATACAGAGGGATAGTCCCTGAGAATAAAGAATTAGAGTGGCTACCTTAATGAAGGAGAGAACAGGGATGTAAAAACAGTGATGCTTTAATTGGTGGCCTGTGAGCCTCTTGTTGGGTGACTCTTTGCGTTCCAGGATATACCCTGTATTCATATTCAGGACTCAGTGGATAATAACCATGCAGTAATAACATCTGTTTAGTGTATTACAGCTTACAAATGGCTTTAGCATAGATTATTTCATGTAATCCTCACAAACACCTTGTGAGGTAGGTATAATTTATCCCCAGCTTATAGATAAGCAAACTGGCTCAAAGAGTGTCTCGCCGAAGGTCATAGCTAATAAGAGGCAGTGCTGGGACTTGAGTCTGAGTATTCTGATTGTGAAGTCCAACTTTTTTTTTTAAGATTTTATTGGGGAATGGGGGAAGGGGAACAGACAAGTTGCTGTCCTTTTATTCTTCAGTCTAGTTGTGGAGGACGTTGCTTCACTGACCCATGTTGGGATTATCATTGTGCTTTTCCTGGGTGAGGCAGATCAATTGCCGGCCTCTGGACGGCCACTCACGGTGGCGCTTGGCAGCTCACACCAAATGCTGGCCACTCACGGTAGCTATGGCAGCCCACTGCAGTAGGGCCTGCAGCCTACGCCGTAGTCCTCGACTCACAGCAGCCCAGCTCCAGGTCGAGCTGCTGCTCACCATCTTAGCTGTAGAGGGCAGTGTCACTGGCCCCCATGTGTGATCTGAACCTGGGCTCTGCTGCTCAGAGCTGGCATCCCAAGCCAACTCTTAACCAACGCACCACTCGGCTGGTCCCTGAAGTCCAGCGTTCTTGTTACTCTACCATAACTGCCTGGTTAGCCTCTTGGTAACTCACTTTGGTTGTAGGAATATGATGCTTCTAATGGAACTGCCTCTTTAAAAGAAGAGCAATAAGATTCTAACTCTAAAATATACAAAAAGAGGTAGAATAATTTGGTTAAATATGGACATGATTCTAATAAGGCTCTTGAGTTCAAGGGGTCCCTAGAAATCTTGAAGGTTCTTAGGTCCCTAAGTTCCGTATGTAGCCTGTAATTGTTGTAAACCTAGTGGAGGTGGGTCAGGCTGAGCAGTGTTCTGTCTTTGTGCCTAGGCTTAGAGGGGGAAGAAGGGGTTTCTGGTGAACTGGGGGGTGGAATATTCGAGCTGGGTGGGAGCTGTGCTGGTATCAGTCAGCTGTGTCTTCCAGGAATGGCCCTGGTCTGGAGTTGGAGCCCTGAGTGACCAGGAGTCCTTCCTGTCCTGAGCCAGGTGATAACGTGGTACTGGACCAGGCCTACCTGTGGCAGGGTGTTCGAGTAGCTGCTGGAGCACAGATCCGTCAGTCTCTGCTTTGCGACAATGCTGAGGTCAAAGAACATGTTACACTGGAGCCACACTGTGTCCTCACTTCCCAGGTGAGACCTGTTCCATACTGTGCACAGGCCCCAAACTGAGTGGTGGTCATGCTGAGCCAGGAGGAGCCCACATCCACCTATAATCAAACCTGAAATGAGAGTCCAAATTCAGTGGTTTCATTTGCGTTCTACTTGGCTTAGTAAAAAAAAAGTCACTATCATTGTCAGAATGTGGCTTTCCCCAACCCACTAATGGACCTGTGCCACCCGCTCCTTTTTTCTCCCCTAGGTGGTAGTGGGCCCAGACATCACACTGCCTGAGGGCTCGGTGATCTCTTTGCACCCTCCAGATGCAGAGGAAGATGAGGACGATAGCCAGTTCAGTGATGATTCTGGGGCTGACCAAGAAAAGGAGAAAGTGAAGCTGAAAGGTGTGAGGCTCAGCAGGTGTGGGGCATCTGTGTGTCTCTCTGCCCCATAGAAACACCATTATTTCCTCCTGGAGAGATTGGTGCTTCCCCTGGTCCTTTGCTAAAGATCAGTGCCTTTCCAGGTTACAATCCAGCAGAAGTCGGAGTTGCAGGCCAGGGCTACCTCTGGAAAGCTGCAGACATGAACATGGAGGAAGAGGAGGAACTACGGCATAGTCTGTGGGGTGAGCTAAGCTTTATTCCTGCCACCCCCTTTCTAAAGCAGAATACTTTGAAGGCAAGAGAACACTTCAGAATCAGACTACCTGTTCATTGCTTTATTCATGCAGACAAGGCAGATATTTGGCTCTCTTGTCAGTCAGTGGCTCTTTCCTTATTTTTCTTTTTTCTCTCCCTATATGGGTTCTCAGGACTCACAATCAACATGGAAGAAGAGAGTGAAACTGAAAGTGAGCGAAGTATGGATTCTGAGGAGCTCGACAGCCGGACAGGCTCCCCACAGATGGATGACATCAAAGGTGAGTGGCCAGGGGAGCAGTGTCCTAGGACAAAAGAGGAAAACCTCCAGTTTATTCTTTATGTGGATCAGCTAGCCAAGGACTTGTGTTCCTCGCAGGAAGGGTTTTGTATAAAGTCAGAACTAGATGACTTAATGCATTTTGGAGTGATTTTGGCCCATGAACTTATTCTTGCTTTGATTTTAGTGTTCCAGAATGAAGTCCTGGGAACACTGCAGCGGGGCAAGGAGGAGAACATTTCTTGTGACAATCTAGTCCTAGAGATCAACTCTCTCAAGTAAGAGCAGCCCCTCCCTATTTTCTTCCCCGGGGAGAATCCCAGGCAGGTAGAGGTTCTCTTCTGTGTCTTCCCCAAATAGGAACCTGCTCCCTTGACATCCCAAATAGACAAGGCCAATAGCATTTAGGTTCTAGTCTCAGCATAGACTTCTTCCTAAAACTGTCCCCATCCATCTTGTTCCATCTGACTTCCTATCCCTCAATGTCCTGCCATATTCAGAGTTCTACAGCATGCTGGAAGGGCCAATGAAGGCCCTGGTGTCACCACAGTCTTCCCACAGGTATGCCTACAACATAAGCCTAAAGGAGGTGATGCAGGTGCTGAGCCACGTGGTCCTAGAGTTCCCTCTGCAACAGATGGATTCCCGGCTCGACTCAAACCGCTACTGTGCCCTGCTGCTTCCTGTGAGCAAAGATTGGGGCTGAGTACAAGGGATTGGGTGGAGGCAGACACACATCCTTGCTGTGCTTGACTGTAAATCAGGAGTAGAAGGTCTTGCTGTGGGATGCTGGGTTACTTGTAGTTGGTTCCTTTCTCCTCACCTCGAAGCAGATTGGATTCTAGAACAGCCTTGGCTGGTCCAGAGGAGTCAACTTAGATTCAGTCCTAAGTGGCCTTTGAGACTCCAGGCTTCAGACCAGCCCAGACCCCAAAGGTATACCCAGAATAGACCTAGACTTTTAGACTCTGTAAATGACTTACTTGGTTGAATGAGATCGGCCATTAGGCTGGAAATAGGTCTTTGGAGGCAGCCTGCATATCTGACCCCCTTTCACCTTCCCTAGGAACCTCTTTTTCCCCAACCCTGATTGCTAGCAACTCCCAAGTCCTTCTGACATGATTCCACAGGGCCTGGATCATCTCCCTCTTGTCTTCCCATATCATGAAAGACCCATGTTATCAATATTGGCTTTCTTTGCTGTTCAGGTAGATACATGCATAGGAATATATTGCAGCTCCTTTCTCCTTTCTTCCATAGCTGCTCAAGGCCTGGAGCCCTGTATTCAGGAACTACATAAAGCGTGCAGCTGATCATTTGGAAGCATTGGCAGCCATTGAGGACTTCTTCCTGGAGCATGAAGCTCTCGGTACTTCCATGGCCAAGGTGAATATACCTCCTCAAAGCCTCATAGTCCTGCATTTGCTTTGAAACAGACCTTGGTGACCTCCATGGAGGCACAGAACAGAGGCTGACATGAGTCCAGTATGGAGTTTGGTCAACAGCACCGTCCACCCCTCGTATTGCGCTCTTTGCATGGAGCCAGGCCAGGAAGGTAGCCATTTGGAAGTTGCCCTGGGAATGTGCAAAGCACTACCCAGAAATGGTTCCAGAAGTTATACCTGTTTCAGTACCAGAGTGAACAGCTTACTCTTATCTGTTTTGAAGGAAACTGCTCAGTATGTAGAAGGAAGCTGAGGACCTGGTAGAAAGAGGTGCTAAGATCTTTCCCTCTTCCTGTGTTATCCATTATACCTTGCTGGACTCTGTAAGATCCCTGAGATCTCTGCTGGCCTTCTGCAGGTACTGTTGGCTTTCTACCAGCTGGAGATCCTGGCTGAGGAAACAATCCTGAGCTGGTACAGCCAAAAGGATACAACTGACAAGGGCCGGCAGTTGCGTAAGAACCAACAGGTGAGTCAGGATGCCCTCTGACCATGATGGTCGTCTGGTTCCCCGACTCTTGGTCCCAGTCCACAGGATGGTGGGTCCCCGGGACTCTGTGGTTCTTCAAGCTGTCTATCCTCTAAGGAGAACAGGAGGGTTATGTGCCCCTCCATCAGTAGCTCTCCACTGTGCTTCCTTACAGCTGCAGAGGTTCATCCAGTGGCTAAAGGAGGCAGAAGAGGAGTCATCTGAAGATGACTGAAGTCACACTGCCTCCTCCTGTGGCTGTGGTTGATTGCTGTCCTGGCTTCTGGGCCAGAGCAAGTGAGAGGCTAGTTGCAGATAAGTGACCACCATCCTGGCTGAGACTTACAGGAGCAGAGGCTGGAACTACAGTATTCTTCCCACCGCCAACAACCATGTGCCTCGCATCCTGACTGAGGCGTTGGGATGAGGGAAGCTGGGTTGGAACAAAGCTCTGCCTAATGACAAGCGAGGCAGGCCCTGCAGTTAGAGGAAGGCCAGCAGCACAGCTTTGTGCTCTGGCTTTCCCTCGGGGAACAGCAGAGAGCAGCTGGCCTTCTCTGCTGCTTGTATTTGTTAATATTAAAAAAGAGAGAGGGGGTGTGTTTGGTTTCTCTCCAACTCTGAATGAGCAGCCGTTGAAGTAGGTGACTGAAGAGTTCTAAACCTCTGACATGACAGCCGTTTTTTAACACCTGGGAGAGAGGGAGAAGAGGAGTGTTGTGGCCACTAGGTGGCACTGTGGTGCCTCACTAATTGACCATTGCCATGGCTCTTGGGTAGTGGAGGGTCTAGATTCTTTTCCAGTCTCTGTGGACCAATTTGTGGTCCTGGAGTGGTGTGCCTGAGCCTGTTTCCATAGAGCATTCTAGTCCGAACACTCTTCCGCCAGAGAGTGATGATGCCAAGCATATGTAAAGTCTGATAACCACCTGCCAGTCCCTCACGCTTTGTCCCCTTGACCTAGTACTCCTGTGGGAAACTGGGCTACTCTTCATCTTAAAGATAAGGAAATTTGCTCAAGGTCTCATGATCTTGAGGGGTAAAGCTAAGGATCTGAGCCTCATAATCCAGAATTCTTTCAGCTTCCCTATAGTCAGTGTCTCAGTGAAGGGAAATTGCCCGCAAAGGCAAATATAACCCCAAGCCAGCAATGGATATCCTAAGAACAGAGGAAGATCCTGCAAAATGGGCTTTTCCCTAATATTGAGGGAGTGTGTACTGTATGTCAGGCATTTTGCTAAAAACTTTTCCTATGTTATTTTAGTTAACCTTTACATCCTTTGAAGTAGGTTTTATCCCCATTTTCAGATGAGGAGCCTAAAGTTCAGAGAGGTCCCATAACTGGTAATTGATAGAGCCAGGATTTGTTATTGGACTGTAGAACAGGAGTTTATCACTGCTGTATTGTCTCCTTTAACCTCAACCATATGACCTTCTAGCCCATCTTTTTGAGCTCTTTGTTGCCTTCTTATAACCCTTACTCTGTTGACACTTAAACTGTGGCAAATGTTCCTGGTAACAAATGGCCCTCCTGGACATTACACACAAAATGGTTGGCTGCCTTCATTTCAATTGGGTAGAAAGGAATAAGCTGAGGAAGAGGACACTGAACTGTACTCAGAGGTGTGAAGGGGCATTACTGCATATTTCTAAAGAGAAAATAAGGCTGTCCAGGATTTGGCCTTATTTACTTTTCTCAGTAAATCTCAGTTTCTGCTTTGTCAGATATAGGATCTAGTGCCTACCGAGCACATGAAGGTTATGGCATGAACCTAATAGAGGCACTTACATACAAATAACTATAGGGCACCTCTGATTTGCACCAAATGGGTAGCAGAGATCAGAGTGGCCCATAGAACTTTTTTTTAGGAGGAAGAGATTCCTTTCACTTGTGATTAGGGAAGATTTACAGGGCTGTGATGCTTGAGTGGCCTAAGAGAGAGAAAGCGGTAGAAGGGAGCAGTAAAAGCAAAGGCTTGCCATTTAAATGTGGCAAATTAAAAATGCGCTTTTTGCTCCCTCCAAAACCCCGTTCGTATGCCACTAAAGGATTCTTTTAAAAGGCGCATGACTCTGATAAGGAAAACTAGATGATGACAATGAATGAGAGACATCAACATTCTGGAAAATGAAAAATGGAAAAGTTGACAGTAGAGCAGAATGGGATGGATTCTATCTACTGAGGTGGCTATTACAAGAAGCAAACCAACATGCCCTTCTGAACCCAGAAAAGGCTCAGCAGAAGAGGGTAAAGGCAGGGTCTGAGAATGGGGCATGGAGTGGAGGGGAATCAGACAAAGACCTGTATAAGAAAAAGCTCCCCCTCTCCCCCCAACTTATGATCCAGCAGAGTGACTACCCTTACTTCCCTGCAAGAAATGAGAGAGTTAGCCTATGGAGAAACGGTGGGGAGGAAATTTTCAAAGAAATACAAGTTTCCTAGACCCAAAGATCATGAGTTTCCAGACTGACAGAGCCATGAGTGCCCAGCATAATGAATAAAATAGCCCCATGAAACTTCAGAGCCACAGGGAAAACATAAATTCTATTAGAGCCTCTAGATTCAACAACAGACTTGAGGGTGGGGGTGAGGAGCTAAGTTGAAAATGAAGGATTAAGTGGAAGTTTATGAGTGTTAGGGCTCTAAATATCAGCACATACTGATTTATATCCCCAGGCAAAAACAAACAACTACAGAAAAAAAAAAGGCCTACAAATACATTTTCTGTTTACTCAAAAAAAGCCATCTTTCCCCCACTTGATCACCCTACAGTAAACCTGTGAGATAAGCCTTGTACATGAAGAGCTTCCAGTCAGCTTTCTAGTATTTCTTAAATGTGAATAGACTGCTAAGGGCCATCAAACATTTGAGGAAACTTCCAGTGTGGAAGGCAGAGACCAAAACAAAATTGAAACCAAGGAAAATGACAAAGCAAGGAGTTTTTTTTAAAACTTCAGGGGACCTGAGGGGAAGCTATTCTCAAAATTCAGAGGAAAGATACTGTGTCTATGAAGGAAGTGCTATAAAAAAGAATTGGAGAACAAAGAAATTCTTAGAAATGAATTGTTTCCTTCTGCTGAGAACTGGAGAACCAGAGAATCAAACAGGAAGGAGACTATCCATCCTTACGCACTTCTTGAATTTTCAATTGTGAATATTTTACCTATCCACTCAGGAAAGGTTGAAAATGTTAAGAAAACCTTGCAGAAAGCTGAAATCATTTTTAAAGGAATGGATGATAAAGGAGAAAATAAAATTAAGGATCAATCCTGAAGGTCCAACATCTAACAGTTGAAGAAACAATGGGGGGAATGCTAGAAATGTTATTAAATCACGAAAATATTGTTGAATTTCTAGATGGAAAGGGTGCCTAGCACAGTGAATAGGAACCAAGGCATGTCACCACAAAGTTTCAGGACCTACGGATAAAGAGAACTTCCTAAAGTCTTCAGAGAATTAAATCATGTGCAAAAGCTTAGGGAAATAAAGAGACCAACTGGCCACTTAATGGCAACACTGAAAGCTAGAAGACAGTGGAGAGATGCCTTCAAAATTCTGAAGCTAAATTACTTTTAACTCCCAATCATTTTCAGATTTGCAAGTTCTCAAAATTTTTATTTCCCTTCCAATGGAAGCTACCAAGGAATGTGCTTTCCTACAGCAAAGGAGTAAAGTATCTAGGAAATTATCCAACATGGAGAAGTAAAGGGAATTTTGAGTATGATGCAGAGAAGTCCAGGATGGCTGCTGTGCGCAAGCCAAGATAGTCAGCAGTGCAGACCAGAGCAACAGAATTGAAGGCTCCAAGGAAGAGAATGGATTATCTAATACACAGACACGTCATTTTATTGAGCTTCGCTTTATTGTGTTTAAAGATAATTCTCGGTTTTTGTTTTTACAAATTGAAGGTTTGTGGCACCCTGTGTCAAGCAAATCTATTGGTGCCATTTTTCCAACAGGATTAGATGATGGTTAGCATTTTTTAGCAATAAAGTATTTTTTGATTAAGGTATGTACATTGGTTTTTTTAGACATAACACTATTGCACACTTAACAGACTACAGTATAGTATAAACATCTTTTTTATGCACTGGGAAACCCAAAATTTGTGTGACTATTGCAATATTTGCTTTATTGTGGTGGTCTGGAACCAAACACAATATCTCTGAGGTATGCCTGTATTTGACTGAGTTAACAAAATAAGTATTAAGAAACATTATGTGGAAAGACTTGATAGGTACACTATGTTACATAAAAAACAGCAAATGAAAAGGCAAGGCAATGATTAATGACAGGAGAAGTTGTAAAGGAAGCATCTATTCATAGTCAAATGTTAATACTAAGTACTATATTGACTTAACAAAAAAAGTGGGATTTTACTATTTTAAGAAGTTAGGGGAAGGTGGAAGAAAAACCCATCAAGATTGGAAATCAATAGGCAATGTCTAGAATGCATAATTCAAGTGATAGTATAAGTTAAAATATACCGGGATGGGGAGGGAAATGGGACAAAGGACTGCTGTTAAAAACTGTTAGTAGGGGCCGGCCAAGTGGCACGTTGGTTAGGAGTTGGCTTGGGATGCCAGCTCTGAGCAGCAGGGCCCCGGTTCAGATCCCATATGAGGGCCAGTGACTCTGCGCCCTCTACAGCTAAGATGGTAAACAGCTCAGCCTGGAGCTGGGCTGCCGTGAGTCACCGGCGACAGCGTAGGCTGCCGTGAAACTGCAGTGGGCTGCCATAAGCTACCATGAGTTGCTGGCAGCTGATGTGACCAGCTGGCAGCTGGAGTGAGCTGCCAAGAGACGCCATGAGCGGCTGTCCAGTGGCCGGCGACTGATCTGCCTCACCCAGGAACAGCGCAATGATAATACCAACATGGGCCAGTGAAATGACGTCTTCCACAACTACACTGAAGAACCAAAGGGCAGCAGCTTGTCTGTTCCAATTCCCCAATGCTCTTCCCCTCCCCCAAATTCCCCAGTAAAATCTTAAAAAAAAACAAAAACAAAACTTTTAGTACTATTTGCACACATACTGCTTTGTTAAAATTTTAAAGTAGGGCCGTCCGAGTGGCTCAGTTGGTTAAGAGCTCGCTCAAGAGTGCGAGCTCTTAGCAACAGCGGTTCAAGTCCAGCCCGAGCTGAGCTGACAACAGGTGGCAGGATGGCTCAGCTAAAACAAAACAAACAAACAAACAAAAAAATTTTAAAGTAAAGGGTATGAAATGAAAATACACATGTGTGCAGGGGCTAGCAAATAGTTTGACTTGCTGAAGTCAAAATAAGGATATAATGAAATAAAAGGCTGCAAATATAGGTAGAGGTTAGATTATGGAGGGCTATGGATATCACGATCAGGATATTTGAAAAGCACTGGGGAATGTGAAGAGGTTTCTGAGCAGAGGAGATATCTGAAATAGGTACTTACTGTTGAAACGCTAATTTGGCAACTGTACAAAATGGAGTGGGAGGAGACCACACTTGTTACTGTGACCTAAAAGGACCTGTGTGAGATGGTCCCAGTCTCCTTTCCAGCCTTATCTAACACTATCCCAGTAGTCACAGTGGCCTTCTGTTCCTCAAATTTGGCAAGTTTGTTTCTGCCTTGAGCCTTTAGAGTTGGCTGTGCCCTCAGCCTGGAATGCTCTTCCCCAAGACCAGACCTTATAGCTGCCTCCTCATTAGTTCTAGGTCTTAGCTCAAATGGAAGAGGCCTTCTCTGACTACCCATAATTCTCTTTCCCCGTTACTATCACATCACTCCCTTTAATCGTTTCATAGCCTTTGCTACTCTGAAGTTATTTATTTACAAGCCTCTTTCCAAATAAGTAAAGGTCCTGAGAGCAGCCTTACCTGTCTTGTATTTGCTGTATCTCATGTAGTATGCCTTGTACATAGTAGGCACTCTATTAAACAAATTTAAAGCTAAGGGGTAAGGAGATCTGTTAGGAATGATTATACCCACGTCTGACTTGAGACTTACTGTCCCAGTAATGCACCCATCTTCATTCTTGCACTCATCTGCATTCAATCCATTTATTAAACCACTACTTTGCACCTAGGTACTGAGGTTATAAGAAGGAATCAGCATTGGATCCTGCCTGTTGTGTCCTCAAGGAGCTCAATTTGGTAGACTCAATGACGGCAGCTTATGCTTATTAACAGACCCTAAAGGGCCATGTCAAGATCACTTTCCCCAGTGATACGTGGTCAGAACCCCCACCCACCTACCTCTGGGGACCAAAGCGACCCCTGCATTTCCAGTTGCAGAGGAGCAGCCGGTCCCCTTGGGTCCAGAGTCTGGGCTTTGAACAGTCCAAGAACGCGAGCATCCTGGTGAGATCAAACCTTCCATCTCCGGGGCCCTAGGCGACCGCTGCCACGCTCTCACGGGCCAGGGACCAGAGCGCTGGAGTCAGAGCTCGCCGCCCGGCGGGTGGGCGGGGTGTCCTGGGGGCCCGGCCGAGAGCCAGACCATCTGCCGCGAGGCCAGCGCGGCTCGGCTGGGGCCGGGGGCGGGGCCGCGCCAGGGCGGGGTCGCGCCGGGGCCCGGGGAGGGGAGCGCACCGGGCGACAGCCCAGAGCCGGGAGGGCCGCGGCCACCGGAAGAGTCGCCGTCGCCAGCCGAGCCGGGAGAGTGG